CCATGCTGTGTACACGCATAAGCAGGAATGTAATGTTGGTATATTACTGTTAGCACATCTTCACTGCAAAGTACTGCATCCTCATCCTGATGGATGATGATGATATGAATTATTCAGTATCCACTATGAATTATTCAATATTCACTATCAATTATTCAGTATCAACTATGAATTATTCAGTATCAACTATGAATTATTCAGTAACTTCTACGGACAAATCAGTATCCATTGTAAATTATTCAGTATCCACTATGAATTATTCGATGTCCCCTACAATTCAGTTTTATTTATCTTAGAATTATTTCTATCTACTATTAATTATTCAGTATCCACTATGAATTATTCAAAATATTCAGTATTCACAATGAATTATTCAGTATCTACTGTGAATTATTCAGTACCTACTATGAATTATTCAGTATCTACTGTGAATTATTTAGTATCTACTGTGAATTATTCAGTATCTACTGTGAATTATTCTGTATCTACTGTGAATTATTCAGTATCTACTATGAATTATTCAGTATCTACTGTGAATCATACGGTTTTGTAACTGGGTCTCTTCTCAGAAAGGGAAAGTAGTCTCAGGGAAAGGACAGCGCCCTCCCAGTAAACAGAGCACGCCAATCCACAAGCATCTGTGGAGCAACGCCGCTCTGAGTAAACATGAGCAGTGACATCAAGGAACCAGCTGTAACTCTTTAGATATTAAAGCTATAATTCAGCTAAAACATACTAACCTGCTCCCCCACCACCACCTCAGATGTAGTTGATCAGCCTAGACATGTTTTTTGCTTCTTTACCATTAGCACTGGAGCTACAAAGCTAATGTAGCGAACAAGTACGGTTAGCAAGGTGCTAACTGCAGGCCTAAATCATCACTCACGCCCCTGAAATCATGCAGAGTTGTTCTGTAATCTCTAATAGACTTGCAGCCCTGTTATACATCGCAAGCATGTTATAAATGCACTATTTAAAGATATAATCACAATATTAGTGTTTTGTTTACACTGCGAGGCGTATCATAGTTGCAGCATCTATCATTATAATCACAATATAGCCTTTTGTTCGTATCATTCAGCCCTATGATATAGGCATATCATAATTGCAGTGTTTTAGTTTGCCTCTTTAGTTTTTGTTGTTTCTGAAACTGTATGCATGCAGGTTACTTTTGTCCATGTTTATAGATAACAGTATTATTCTTCCTCAGGTTTGAGGTCTGTCAGAACTCTTATTCCAGTAATTCCACCAATAAGCAACCATAACACTGTAAACAGTGCGAACCATGCTAATTGTCCGAGTCAGGGATGTTTCGGTCACGTTTCAAATGAAGATAAAACGCACATCGTCTCCTGCTGTCTAGTCCGCTCCATCTAAAGTAGTGCACTTTGAAATGGCTGGTCGTTTGGGGTTAGCATTAGCCTAGCATGGACACCAGGGCGCTTCTGTTTCCTCCCGTACTACCTAAGAAGGAATTTTCCAAATTCCAGCAGTATTTGAGACTTTCAATGAAGCTGAAGTTCTTATTTCAATTTCCCATTCCACCTTAAATGGTGCTGGAGTTACATTCAGGCCTGTACAGCTGCTCCATTTAAGGTGGAGCGGAACATGTGATCAAATAGCTGGCGAATAAAAAGACAACTTTTGTTGAAACAACATTTAGCAGCGTTTTTGCCAGGTGTTAGAAAGCAACATTGACAAGTTTGTCTGTGTATTGATCGGTTTTCTTTTTATTAATTAGCATTATAAAAAATATGATTTACTTAGAATGGTAAAAATAGTTAGTTTATTAAAAAGCAATGAGACTTTGCTGAATAATAAGCTACTCATAACCCACAAGAAATAGGTTTACTTAAGCATCCAAATGGTTTTATTTAAATAAATAATACATACACATTCATATAAATCGAATATATAAATATTGGCGTTCACTGCTATTAAGAGGACACAGTCATTGTGCTTTATTAAAGGCAGCCCCACCTTCACAATAAGAGTCCTTATCAGAATAACTCAGAGAACAACTTTAGACAACAAATATCTCCTGGCTGATCCACTACGTTTGGAGGTGTGTGTGTGAGGGGGTGGGGGGGTAAACAGGGTAGATGTAACGTGTAACTCTGCTGAAGGTCCTTCACGTGTCTGGCTGTAAGGTGGAGTCTGGTGGGTCGCACAGAAGAGGGCCGAGGGTCCTGTAAACGCAGCGGTGACGTTGAAGGCCGCGGCACGTGCCAGCTAAACTGTGTTAAAGAGTCGTCATATTGGCCTCGCTTACAAACAGCTCCACCCCTGCCAGAGCCAGCTGTGTGACCTCAGCCAGAGGGGAGAGTCCAGATGTGCACACGTGCACACGGAGAGAAAGATCTCAGTGTTTAGAGTGGATAATTCGAAAAGCGCTCATTAGAGAGAAGGGGTCTTCCCCCCGTAATAACAGCACAGAGGGTCCATAGTGTAAAGACCACCCCCCACCCCACACACACCCCCGCACCACCCGAAAATCTGACTCTTCCCACGGAGATATAAACAGATGATGTCAGAGGGTGGTGCTGCTCGGCGCAGTCTGCCAAGCAGATGGGGAAATGCGTTAGCGAAGTTTGGAACAAACGGCCGCTCAGATATTGAGTCTGAGTGAGGGGGGTGTGAGTGGGGGGGGTGTGTGAGTGTGGAGGGGCAGGGAGCTATACTGCTGTCTGAAATACTTTACTGCTCATGTGTCATGTAGAGGATCAGCCTGTATGGTTTGTATGATGCATTATTGGCAGAAGGGCCAAACGATATAAACAAAATACAGTAGTGTTGTATTAAATCACAGTTGTAATGTATTGTAATATATCACAATGTTGACATATTACAGTTATGATATGCTTATATCATAGAGCTGGACGATACAAACACAATATAATGTTGCGACTGTATTAAACACTAATTGTGATATGCCCATAAAGGGCTGCATGAAATCGACAAAACGACTATCATTTTGATCATATTGCTAGATATTGTGATTGTGATACACTGTGCTGTACATCTTAGGGCTGCACGATATGAACATGATTATATAGTAATATACTGTAATTCTGATATTGTGGAGTTGAACTATATAAACTTTGTATGACTGTATAGCTGAATATTGCAGTTGTGATATGACTACATCATAGAGCTGATGATATAAACATAATATCATATAGTGGTTAAATTGCCTGTATTGTACACTGTATTGAACAAAACTGTTCTACAAGGGTTTTTTTGTAAAGAAAATGGTTCTGTCTAGAACCATGAGCTCTACACAGAACTATTTCATGCATAAATGGTTCTTTGCATGGTCAAGGTGTTCTCCAGATTGATGACTGATGAAGAATGTATTGTATATGGTTCTATACAGAACCCTTCTGAAATACGTTATGAGCTTGAGATCAGAGCAATAGCAGAACCCTTTTTGGAGCTATGTAGAACCATATACAACACATTTTCCGTCAATCTGAAGAACATTTCACCATGCAAAGAACCATTTAATCATGCAAAGGGTTCTTTGAGTGTTGATGGTTCTATATAGAACCATTTTCTTTACTAAAGAACCCTTGAAGAACCATCATTAAGAGTGTACACTTATAAAAAAGGACGATTCTTCAAATGTTTTTTGGTAAAGAAAATGGTTCTATGTAGAACCGTGAGCTCTACATATAACCATTTCATGCTAAAATGTTTCTTTGCGTGGTGAAATGGTTCTTCAGATTGATGATTGATGAAGAAGGCACCGTATATGGTTCTATATGGAACCTTTTTGAAATAAGCTGCAAGCTTGAGATCATAACAATAGCCGTATGCTGATGTAGCTGGTGTAGAACCATATACAACACATTCTCTGTCAGTCTGAAGAACCATTTCACTTAGCAAAGAACCATTTAAGCATGAAATATATATCTGTATCTATATAGTTTACTAAAGAACCATCTTTTCTGAATGAATATATGGTAGAGCTGCACGATGTCAACAAAATACTAGCGTTGTATTTTGTATTATATACAATTGTATTGTATATTTGATTATAGTCCTATTCATCAGTGGTCACAGGACGCTGGTCACAGGACGCTGCCCACAGGACGCTGTTGTTTTTGGTTCTGGATGTTTTTGGTTCTCAGTCCAGCAGCGACACTGAGGTGTTTAAGCACTTAAATGGCCAGGGCCTGCCAGTGGGCCCAAAGTTATATTACACACTTCTACACGTTAAAAATCATGGTTTGTCAAGGGTTCTTTAGTAAAGAAAATGGTTCTAGATAGATGATTAAAGGGTTCTTTGCATCATGAAAGAATTCTTCTGATGGATGGAGAATGTGCTATAAAAGGTATAGAACCTTTTTGAAAAGGGTTCTAAACAGCACCCGAAAGAGTTCTTCTATTGTCACAAGCTTGATATTGTAACAATAGCAGAACCCTTTTTGGTGCTATATTGGACCTTTTTCTCGAAACGCTTTTATGATCAAACAACACTTTAATCATGCAAAGGGTTCTTCGAGTGTCCATGGTTCTATATAGAACCATTTTCTTACTAAAGAATGCTTAAAGAACCATCTTTTTTAAGAGTGTATAACCTAAAAATAGCCCAACCAGTCTGCACTGAAGTCTCTGTAGTTACTGAACAATAAGCCTGAGATTTTAAGGGGTTAAAAACTCCAGCAGCACTGCTGTGTCTGATCGACTCACACCAGCACAACACACACTAACACACCACCACCACGTCAGTGTTACTGCAGTGCTGAGAATGACCCACCACCCAAATAGTACCTGCTCTGTGAGGGTCCATGGGGGTCCTGACCACTGAAGAACAGGGTACCAAAGTATGCAGAGAAACAGATGGACTACAGTCTGTAACTGTAGAACTACAGAGTGAAACTATGTGGTCAGTGGAGCTGATAAGACTGAGTGAAGTGGCCAGTCAGTGTGTAGTTGTTGTGTATTCTTCTGTCTCCTTGTTTTATTGTTAACGGCAGGTGTTTTGTGCTTTTCAGATGAGATGTGAAAAACTGATCACCTACCTGAGGATTATTGGGACTACACTGTTCGGCGTCTCGCTGCTTGTGGGGATCTCCACAGCCTACATCATGGGCTACCAGTTCTTCACCACTACAGGCAATTACCTGTCCTTCGGGCTTTACGGGGCCATTCTGGTTGTTCACCTCATCATCCAGAGCCTGTTCGCTCTGCTGGAGCACAGAAACATGAGGCAGTCCCTGGAGACCCCCATAAAACTCAACAAGTCGCTGGCGCTGTGCATCGCCGCCTACCAGGAGGACCCTAACTACCTGAGGAAGTGTCTGATCTCGGTCAAGAGGCTCACCTACCCGGGCATCAAGGTGATCATGGTGATCGACGGAAACAGCGAAGACGACGGCTACATGATGGACATCTTCCGTGACATCATGGGCTGCGACAAGGCGGCCACGTACGTGTGGAAGAGCAACTACCACCAGCGCGGGCCGGAGGAGACCGAGGAGTCGTACGCCGAGAGCCTGCAGCAGGTCTCCCGCCTGGTGCTCAACAACAAGTGCGTGTGCATCATGCAGAAGTGGGGCGGCAAGAGGGAGGTCATGTACACGGCCTTCAAGGCGCTGGGCAGGAGCGTGGACTATGTACAGGTGAGCCCACCTCTAAGCACAGAGGCGCCTCTGTGCAGGTTCAAAGGGGCGCCGGTCTGATGTGTCCGGCTCTGAGGTTTTAAAGGGAAATGAGTTTCGTGGAAAATGAACTCGTTTGCGGCAAAAACTTAGGTTTTTCAGGGGTTCTTTAGTAAAGAAAATGGTTCTATATAGAACCATGAACACTCAAAGAACCCTTTGCATGATTAAAGGGTTCTTCGCATTGTGAAAGCGATCTTCAGATTGATGGCGAATGTGTTGTATATGGTTCTATATAGCACCAAAAAGGGTTCTGCGAGGCTAAGTTCTATATAGAACCATGTACATCACGTTATCCATCTGTCATCAGTCTGAAGAACCATTTCACCATGCAAAGAACCATTTTGGCATGAAATGGTTCTATGTAGAGCTCATGGTTTTAGACAGAACCATTTTCTTTACTAAAATAACCTTGAAGTATCATCTTTTTGTATGTGTGTACACTCTTAGTGATGGTTCTTCAAGGGTTCTTTAGTAAAGAAAATGGTTCTGTATAAAACTATGAAGACTCAAAGAACGCTTTGCATGATTAAAGGGTTCTTTGCATCGTGAAATGGTTCTTCATATTCATATAGAATGTGGTGTAGATGGTTCTACGTATAACCTTTTTGAAAAGTGTTCCATATAGCACCAAAGAGGGTTCTGCTATTGTTACACACTTAAAAAGACGGTTCTTCGTGATTCTTCAGTAAGAAAATGGTTCTATATAGAACCATGAACACTTAGAGAATCCTTTACATGAATAAATGGTTCTTCAGATTGATGCAGATTTTGAAAAGGGTTCTATTTAGCACTAAAAGGGTTCTTCTATTATTACAAGCTTGACGTCTTAACAATAGCAGAACTCTTTTTAGTGCCATACACAGCCATGTGCAGCACATTCTCCATCAATCTGAAGAACGCTTTCTAAATGCAAAGAGCCCTTTAATCATGCAAAGAGTTCTTTGAGTGTTCATGGTCCTATACAGAACCATTTTCTGTACTAAAGAACCCATCTTTTTTTAAGAGTGTACATGACAGAATTGTCTAAACGTCCATTCCATACAGTCCATATGTGGAAACTAAACTGCAAAAAACAGCCCATTTTGAATTCATTGTTTTTATGATGTCACAAAAACCAACACACATATGCCCACTTATTCACCCTACAGCTGTTTAGCCCCGCCCACACAGCAAAAAAATGATATCTAAGCAACTAGAACATCTGGAAACACCTGCAATCTAGACAATATATCTAATATTTCTCATTATGAGAAGAATTTAACCTATTTCTGTACATTTTACTAGTTCTGAGTAATTACATAAGAAATTATATTTAAAAACAAGTTCAATTATCTGACAATAGAGCAAGACACTTTCACTACTATATCATTGGTAGTCAATAATATAATAATAATGTAAGGTGTGTTCAGCTTTAAAGGGGAATTCCACCTATTTTCCCAAAATTCCCCCCATAATTGAGGGTGTGGATGTAAACCGAGTGATTCAGAGTGGTTTGGTATGAAATGGTTCAGATGTCTTTACAGTGGTGGTGATAGGAACCAGGGGTCGCCATGACTACAACACAAATATAGACATTTTATTTACTATCCAGAACCACCAGTGAACCTACACGAGTCTTCTGAGTTTATATGGAATGTTGATGATGGAAAATAGTGGAAAATCTGAAATAATAAGTTTTCTTTGGGGACTATTTTGCCTCACAGCGCCCTGCATGTATCCCTCCACCATGAATGGAGTTTAAGTTCTCAAAACTATCCTAAAACAGTGTCTCAGTCATCAGGCAGTGAATTCATAACCATTTCATGTAGGAACTTTCTGTGAGGGAGCTTTTAGAGGTGGACGTCTGGTTCCTATCACCACCACTGTGAACAGTTCTGACTCTAGAGCAGAGCGTTTCACACCAGACCACTCTCAACGCCCCTGTAAGGGTTCAGGGCCTTGCTTTGGAGTGTGTTTGTTTTGACTCGGCTCCAGTTCCTATCAGCAGCGACTGAAAACATCACTCCGTTCCACTTCGTTAGTCAGTCGTTATCGTTCAGCTTTACCAACACAGGAGCCGAAGTGGATCTCGTGAGGGTTTCGGAGACAAAACAGACGTGTGTGTGCTGGAGGCCACTCTCTTTGGTGACGGAAACGTCTGTAGGTCAGTCTGGAAATAAAGGAATGAGCCTAATGAAAGAACGGCCTTGTTCCTGCAAACCGAGCCGCAGCTTTTAAACGCAGGTAATCGTGTCAGGACCTCTTGGGAATCTTTACAAACGGTGTGATTTCTGTCCCGACGCCACCTGCTTCCAATGAAACTCTGACCTCTGCTCTGCGCTGAGAGCCTAATTGTGTTTAGCTTATCATCAGTCTGTCAGAGCTGCTACCAGGCTGGAGCTGACTGCGGGGTCTCGATGGATGAGCTGACTCTGAGGGGCTTCAGGCTGGAAATGGGAAGGTTGTGACCCCGCTGTAATGCCTGCTCGTTGAAAGGCTTAGTTATAGCACAGCTTATCCTTAGTTTTGGATAAGTATAGATTACAGACTTCATAGTGAGTGCAAAGCGTGACAAATTTAATAATAATTGTCATTAATTTGGGGTCCACACTGCAACAAAAATGGTATCTTGTCAAGCGAAATGATGTTAAATCTAGTCTATATCTAATATTTCTCATTTTAAGATTGCTGTGACCTTATTATAAGATAATGCAACTTATTTCTAGTAATTTATTACTTGTTTTAGTGATTTTAGACGAATGATCTCACTATAAATATACTTAAAACGAGCCAAATTATCTGCCATTATAGTGAGATCATTTGACTTGCTAAAATTCATTAAAACAAGAAAACAACGTGTAGAAATAACGAGGGATAATGAGAAATATTACATTTATAGATCATTTAATATGATTAATAAGATTTAATATGATTTAAATTGCCAATATCTATTTTTTTTTGCAGTGCACATCATGGAAAACCAAATTTCCTTTGAAATCACAGTATATAAATGTACCATTCACTCCCAAATCCATACAATCACATACTAAGACGTAAATCTCCTCCTATGGTGGTGCTACAGCGTCATCGTATGTTCTTTTTTAAATTTAGTGGGTAAATATTCTAAAAACATTCTCGTAAACATCCAAAAATTCACTGCATTCTGAAAACTGCCTTTACAAAATGTAACTTGGACTGAATACAGATATTTACTTTCTGATTTCTGAATATATATTCCAAATACTTGTATTCCATTAACACTCCAACCCTGGCTGTAGGCTAATAAATACAACTGTGCTAACCCAAAAATTTCCACCTTCAATAAGCATCATCTGAAGGGGGTTTTCCTAGGTCTTAATTTTGGCTACAGTTCTGATAGATGAGTTATGAGACGTGCCTTTATAAGTGGTAGATCTAATATCTCATGAGGCTGTATTTGGTGTAAGTGTCCTTGGACGACCCGACGCTGGGAGCTCAATGAGCCTGTTGTTCATCGGTTTACATGCTTTTCTAACTCTGTGTGCTGGAGGTGCAGATTTTTACACCATTTAAAGTGCTTTATTTGTGATTAAGCATTCACTGACTTTGAACATGAGCAACATGGTCATTAAAACAGTGCAGATTTCCATTAGCATCTACTTTAGTTATTAAACAAAGGCCTTATCATCTGATCTGTTTCAGATTGTCTTCACTCTGTATGTTATTACGTCCTTAATCTTTTATAAGCGGCATTTAAAGAGTAAAGCTTTGATGTAGCTGAGAAACTGAAACATTGCCGATGTCTTTGTTTGGACGTTTCAGGCAAAAATGTGGACAATAATGAATTTTTACCTGATTAAATAAGAGAGTCAGTGCGCTTTGATACGTTTAACAAGCACACCTTTTCCATAAGAAATGGAACTGAATGTTGTGTTTTATATGTTATTACATTTGTGTGTCAGAGAACAAACCTTCAATGAACAGAGAAACTCCACCAAATTTTCAAAATTTCAAAACATTGAGTGTGTGAGATGTAAACAGAGAGATTCAGAGTGGTTTGGTGTGAAATGGTTCAGATGTCTTTACAGTGGTGGTGATAGGAACCAGGGGTCGCCATGACTACAACACAGATATAGACATTTTATTTACTATCCAGAACCACCAGTGAACCTACACGAGTCTTCTGAGTTTATATGGAATGTTGATGATGGAAAATAGTGGAAAACCTGAAATAATAAGCTTTCTTTGGGGACTATTTTGCCTCACAGCGCCCTGCATATTATGTATCCCTCCACCATGAATGGAGTTTAAGGCCAAAATCGCCTCAAAACTATTATAAAACAGTGTCTCAGTCATCAGGCAATGAATTCATAACCATTTCATGTAGGAACTTTCTGTGAGGGAGCTTTTAGAGGTGGACGTCTGGTTCCTATCACCACCACTGTGAATAATTATGACTCGGTAAGTTGAGCGTTTCACACCAAACCACTCTGTTTACATCTTAACTGTTTAATGGTGCAGGAATTTTAGGTGGAACAGTCTGAGAGGTCACGCTCCAAAAGATCATGATGTACAAACATAAGCTTTCCTCTCTAAAAACAGCCCCAATGAAGACATGAAAGAGGAGCTTTAAGCAGCACACAAAGCACATCTGTCTGAATATGAGTTTGTGAACACCGTTATAGAAAAGCTGAAGGCTAAAAACAGCAAAGAACTCCAGTAACCTGGGGCCAACTCTGATCTCTGATCTGTTTAGTCTCCATGACGACTGAATTCAGGACAGTAGCTATTCCAGAATAACAGTTCCTAACTTCATAATCTCATCATGAACTCCAGATAAGAAAACAGCATCACACAAACATCCTAACTGGACTAAACCTCCTAAATCCTGTCCTAACTTTAGGATGAACCCCAACAGGGTCCTCACTTCTGTTTAAGGTCCGTTTCTATGGTTTTTAGGCAGCTGAGTCAGCAGCATAGTTCACTACCAGCATAATGAGCTCCATTTATTCCTACTGTAAAACGCTGCTTTCACTGTGAGATGATTTTCTTTTCTAACTCTGCGTTTTAAAGATCTCAGACGCTGCAGACTCGATCTCCACCGCCCCTCTGATCACCTTCGTGTGTTAATGTTGATGATGAAATATTACAGTGATGGTGGTGAATAATGAGGAGACGGAGCTGAACGTGTGTCTGTTTATTAGGAGGAGTAACGTTAGCGCGCTCGGCTAAAGCGTTTGGGGAAATGGAGACTGAAACTGGGGAGCGGCGACGCTCTGATAAACAGCAGGGGGCGCTCTCACATTGTTTACAACCTTCAGTTTATCACACTGTAGTTTTGTTCGATCTTGAGGCTGAATGGGTAGGGCTAAATTGCTGTAGGTGGGTTTATGGGTGGGTTTATGTAAATACAAATGTATGTAAATACATTGTTTTTTACAAAAAAAATAAATGAAACAGGCTGATTTTGCAGTTTGGTTTCCATATATGGACTGTGTGTTCTGCGGCGTGAAGAGTACAGTTTGAAATTTTAACAGTGGTTATATATGTATGTATGGTTTTCTATGATATGAGCCCTTTAAAACAGGCAAAGAACGGCTAGAAATAAGTTAAATAATCCCATAATACTCGTATCACCGTCTCAATGTGAGGAATATGAAATTTAATGACTAGATTTAAGATGATTTTCACTGCAAGAGCCCATTTTGAATATTATAATTTGCTTTTCCAGGTGTGTGACTCGGACACCATGCTGGACCCTGCGTCTTCAGTGGAGATGGTGAAGGTTCTGGAGGAAGACCCCATGGTTGGGGGGGTCGGGGGAGATGTGCAGGTACCTGTCCTTTCTGTTCTAATTCTAATTACATCACAAATGTCCGTCTATTTAGTCAATAAACAGGCCAGAGGTTTGACCTTCTCTGCCATGAATGGGGTTTTTATGCGTTCTCTACACTGAGCGATCATTTCACGATGAACGGGCCAATAGAAACACTCCAAATTTGCATTTCTTCCTCCTGCTATAAAGTTACCACTGATGATCAGATGTTCATCTATTAATGACTATTTGAAATATAATTGATTATAAACATATTCAACAAAGTATGTTCTTATTTGTGCAGGAAATAAAGACTTTTTGCATGTTATTTTCCTTTTCTGAGATTCAGGGATTCCTTGTGGGCCCATTTCTGAACATTTGGGGGACATACGCCACACTTACCCATCCACCCTAATAATATTCTTATGTATGCAAGAATAGAACAAGAATGAATACTTAATCGATTGTTTCAAAGAAATTTATTGACACATAACGTTAAAAATTTGTGCCCCACAGCAGCTCAGAAGCTCCTAAGCATCTGCTTGTACAGCTTATTAGTAAGAAACAGCCCTGATTCAGTGAATCATTTGCTAAAGAATTGATTCACTCATTGAATCGGATCAAATCCTGAGCTCAGAGACCCCCCCCCCGTATATTTCCATACGTTCCATGTGTTTTAATTCTATATTTTATTGATATTTTATGCCTGTTTTCTATTTGAGCTGTTATTATTATTTTATTTATTTATTTTTTTTATAAATAAATCTTTATTATTATTATTATTATTATTATTATTATCATTATTATTTTTTTTTATATATATAAATCTTTTTTTTTGGATGATTTTCATTTCAACTTTTTCAATTTCAACTTTTTCAGTCCCTTTTAATTTGCATGACTACATCATAAACGAGGGTCACCCTCAAAGTACTTCCGAGTCGAAATAAAGGTTGATTGATTGACCGATTGATTGATTGATAGGTGGCGTATGACTGGTGTACACATTCACAGCAGAGCCTTCGCTCACGTGTGGAACGTTCTGTTTGTCCCTGCAGATCTTGAACAAGTATGAGTCGTGGATCTCCTTCCTGAGCAGCGTGCGCTACTGGATGGCCTTCAACATCGAGCGGGCGTGCCAGTCGTACTTCGGCTGCGTGCAGTGCATCAGCGGCCCTCTGGGGATGTACAGGAACTCTCTGCTGCACGAGTTCCTTGAGGACTGGTACAACCAGACGTTCATGGGCAGCCACTGCAGCTTCGGCGACGACCGCCACCTGACGAACCGCGTGCTGAGCCTGGGCTACGCCACCAAGTACACGGCGCGCTCCAAGTGTTTGACGGAGACCCCCATCACGTACCTGCGCTGGCTCAACCAGCAGACGCGCTGGAGCAAGTCCTACTTCCGAGAGTGGCTGTACAACTCCATGTGGTTCCACAAGCACCACCTGTGGATGACCTACGAGGCCGTCATCACCGGGTTCTTCCCGTTCTTCCTCATCGCCACGGCCATTCAGCTCTTCTACCAGGGCAGGATATGGAACATCCTGCTGTTCCTGCTCATCGTGCAGGCGGTGGCGCTGATCAAGTCCTCCTTCGCCAGCTGCCTGCGCGGGAACATCGTCATGGTCTTCATGTCCTTCTACTCAGTCTTGTACATGTCCAGTCTACTTCCGGCCAAGATGTTCGCCATAGCGACCATAAACAAGTCGGGCTGGGGCACCTCGGGGAGGAAGACCATCGTGGTGAACTTCATCGGACTCATTCCCATCTCCGTGTGGTTCACCATCCTGTTCGTCGGCATCCTGTACACCGTCGTCCAGGACACGCGGAAGCCCTTCGGGGAGTCCGAGAAGATCGTGCTGATCATCGGCGCCATCGTGTACGCCAGCTACTGGGTCGTGCTCTTGACTTTGTACATGGTCCTCATAGCCAAGTGCGGGAAGAGGAAGAAAGAGCCGCAGTACGACCTGGTGCTCGACGTCTGACGACGGCCGACTTGCCCCGCCCCCCCATTTTTCGACGTTTACATTCAGACTTTGGAGCGCTATGGGTTCTCCGCATGTGACGGGACGTCACAGGAGAGAGATGTTGTTGCTGCTGTGACTGACACTAAGGAAATTCCTTCGAAGTGAAAGGTTCAAATAGAGCTTAGGCTCTGTTAAAGCGATAGTTTGGCAGGAAATCGAATTCATTTGCACGATGCTAAGCTAAATGTTTAAAGTGTTTGGGTTTTATTTTCTTCGTGGAAATAAGTTGAGACGTCCTCTACAGGGAGCAAACATTTCTAGAAATTTTAGTGCACAATTTCTATTTATTTGTTGATTTTTGCACAGTGAAAAGGTGTGAAAATGATGTGTACCTAAAATTTTGTTTCATTTTCAATTAAAAAAATGGAAAACTCTGCAAAAAATCTTAATTGCATTAGTAGAAATAGAATAAATAGTAAGCGTGCCATTAAAGTTCTTCCCTGTAGAGGATGTTTTAACTTTTCACTCCAAAAGGCCAAAAAAGTGTCAAAATTTTAAAATTTGGATTTTTTTTTTCGCCAAATTGTCGCTTTAATGTGATAGTATTCCAAAAACCACCAATTGAAATTGCTGTTTCTTTTGGTTTTGTTGTACAGACGTGTGCGACAGCTTGGCTCAAATTTTTTTAAGCGAAAATAATGTTTACAGAGAACTGAAATATGAAATTTCTGCAAAATTTTAGTGCACAATTTCTATTTTGGAAAAGTTATGAAATATAAAATGCGCCACTTTTGCACCACATTTTATGTTTTATTATTTTCTAATGTTTTTAATTGAGAAAATAAAGAGTAACTGCTTTTCACTCAAATAATTTCAGAATTATTTTCAGCAAAAATTTGCAAATTTGAGCCGAATTTTTTGCACACGTCCGTTGGTTTTTGACACGATTCCTATGCACTTTTATGTCTCTCTCTCTCTCTCATCGTGCATGATGCTTGACAAAGAACTTTAATTAACAAAATACCTCAGTGGTTAATGTTTGCATTGTGTGAGTGATTGGGATGCAGTCACATGAGGCTCATTCTTCTTTAATAATTTATTGTGTTCATGTTGTTTTCTTTTAAAACTTTGTTTTTTATATAAATGTAAACTTTTTTTTAGAATGAAAGCGAGAAACAGAAAATTCTGTTTGGGCCATGCTGTACTTTGTATTTGCATATTGCCTTTTTTTATATAGACATGTTTATTTTTGCTTAGCCACCAAAGATTCTCTATTTTCAATCATATGTTTGTGTATGATAAAATTTTTAAAAAATGCATCGTGCATTTGACTGTTACGACAATGACTTTTACCAAAAATGTGAAATTTTAAGAAGCTGGGTTTCGTGTTTTGCATTGATAACAATAAAATGCAGTGATAAGTTATTGGTTTGGGAGGAAAAGGAGGAGTGAACCTGTGTTATTATTAAAAATAAAAGTATTATGTGACGAGAAAACCAGCGTATTTATAAAACACTCTGTGGTTCATAGCTTTTGTACCTGATTAATTGTATTTTGCTAGGTGTTTCACATCACCTGTCGTATTTTTTCGGAAAAGACAGCGCTCCGTCCTAAGAAGCCCCTCCGTCCTGAAAAGGCTGCACACATTTCAGACAAAGTATTTGCACAGAAAGACTTTTTATCTGCGCCGGAATGAAATTTCAATCTCCATTTACAATGTGAGGAGTTACAAACATTATTAGCGTTGTTATATTGTTATTTATGATACGAGTGAGCCGATTGACAAATATCTAAAGGGCGAGGCAGAGTCATTGTGTTGTACATGAAATACGTCAAACAGACGTGAAAGAAATTTGTCAAAATCTTTAAACAAAGACTGACCGACTTCTTCCAGTCCAGTCATGCCAAATGTTACTTAGGCAGTGTTGTTATGAAGCACTTTTTGTGTTTGTGCCAAAATAAAAGACCTGTTTTATACATTATGCATACATAATGTTTTTGTTTTCCTTTGTAAACATTATGTCCTTGAAAAATAAACATGTGACTTGATTGAGCTGAGTGCTGTCGTCGTTTGTTGTGCAAACTTAAGAGCGCTGTTAAGCAGATTTTTAGGGGAATTCCTCTGGATTCAGGCGGACGCACCAGGCCTTTCTGCTGAGAATACTTCATTGAGCATTGCATCATAAGAGGAAGGTTGCCGTGACGACGCCGTGTTTACGGTATATACAGCTCCGGCAGGGTGAGGGCAGCCAAGACAGCAGGAGTCTAGACTCAGTCTGAGTGACTGAGGTGACGGCGTCCAAAATACGAGCCCATGGTTCTAGATAGAGACAGACAGAACACCCTGAAGGAAATAAAAGAGTTACAGCAGCAATAACTCACACTCACACACACATATATCTGGAGGAGCTCTGAAACATGCAGAACTCACAGAGACGCTTATGAAGAGGCCTAAACAGCCCTGAGGGGTTTACAGACGTCCGCTTTACAGACACTGAACGTTTACGTGTGATACAAGCTGAGGTAGCTAAGTAAGGCTTTCTTTCACAGTTCAGCGCATTAGCTAGATCAGGGTGAGGTACTAGATCATTATTTTGGCTGGCATACAGCCTGAATGAATTACACTAAAAAGAAGTTTAGAATAGACATAGTATATAGAATACATATAAAATACGTAAAGGTGCCATGCGTCTCCTCACGTCTCCTTACTTGATAGCGTAACCATGTATGTAGGTGTAGTGTAACCATGGAAACTGATGTAGTGTAACCATGTAAATGGGTGTTGTGTAACCACGGAAACTGGGGTTGTGTAACCATGGAAATTAGTGTGGTGCAACCATGTTAATGGGGGTAGTGTAACTATGGATATGGGTGTGGTGTAACCATAGAAATGAATGTGGTGTAACCATGGAAATGGATGTTGTATAACTATGGATATGGGTGTGGTGTAACCATAGAAATGAATGTGGTGTAACCATAGAAATAGATGTTGTGTTACTATGGACATGGGTGTGGTGTAACCATAGAAAAGGGTGTTGTGTAACTATGGAAATGGGTGTGGAAATGAGTTCAGTGTAACTATGGATGCAGTAGCGACCTCACAGCACTCTCTGGCTGAGCAAATGTCTTTTAATAGTAAGTCCCTTAAATGTAAACGTCAACACAAATCTACCCCAGACCTGTCCGAGTGTTGTCACGCAGGATTATGTGTAACTGGTAGCTGCTGAAGTTCGGGAGCCGTGTGAGGTCAGCCTCCTGCAGACTTCCTGCTGCAAAACATTGACAGTTTTGGCAAACTCACCGGCCGCTCTACTGAACTCCTCCAGGTACAGCTGTAAACGCTCACCAAGGAAAACTGGAGTTTTCCCCTCGTGTCCCTTCAGAGCGCTTCAGTTTCACATAAGTGAGCCTCTGACTTCAGAATGATTCAATTTAATTACGATTCTTCAGGAAACGATTCAATCGCACTTTGTGATTATTTTGGTATCGGTTTTTTAAAATACACTGAGCCGGAGCCTCTTTAGCTGTTGCTTCTCTACTGTTCTCTACTTCCACTACTATAGACTTCAGTCCCCGCAAGTTCCTCGTGCTCTTGGCAGGACTGTGTGCAGAAACACAGCTGATCTGTTTACCGCGAGGAGCTCTGAATGATGCAACCTCTCTCATAGTTCTGTAAAGGCCTCATGTGCAGCATGCATGACTGTCCTTAGACACAACTAATTACACAAAGACTGGAGTTGGAGTGATTCTTTACCTGTGCAAATATACAGAAATACACTGAAATGCATCGTTCAGACTGACTCATGCAGGCCAGGCAGGGGGAATTTTGCAAAAACAGCAACTTGATTTATTTTTACACAAGACCACTGGAGCTCATACTCTGAAGGCTCTGCTTATTTAAATGCGGAGGGGTTCCTAATAATAGACTATATAATAATAGACTATTATGTAATCAGATAAAAGAGGGTTTGGAATGTCAGCTTTCCTCCCAGTGATGCCAGTACTGATGCATTTTGAAGCTAACACTAGTGCATTTTAGAGTTAATGCTAAAGCTGATGCATTTTAGAACTAAAGCTAGTGCTGATGCATTTTAGAACTAAAGCTAGTGCTGATGCATTTTAGAACTAAAGTTAGTGCTGATGCATTTTAGAACTAAAGTTAGTGTTGATGCATTTTAGAGCTAAAGTTAGTGCTGACGCATTTTAGAACTAAAGTTAGTGCTGATGCATTTTAGAGCTAAAGTTAGTGCTGATGCATTTTAGAACTAAAGTTAGTGCTGATGCATTTTAGAACTCAAGTTAGTGCTGATGCATTTTAGAATTAAAGCTATTGCTGATGCATTTTAGAACTCAAGTTAGTGCTGATGCATTTTAGAGCTAAAGCTAGTGCTGATGCATTTTAGAACTCAAGTTAGTGCTGATGCATTTTAGAGCTAAAGTTAGTGCTGATGCATTTTAGAGCTCAAGCTAGTGCTGATGCATTTTAGAACTAAAGTTAGTGTTGATGCATTTTAGAACTCAAGTTAGTGCTGATGCATTTTAGAACTCAAGCTAGTGTTGATGCATTTTAGAACTCAAGTTAGTGCTGATGCATTTTAGAACTCAAGTTAGTGCTGATGCATTTTAGAACTAAAGTTAGTGCTGATGCATTTTAGAACTCAAAGTTAGTGCTGATGCATTTTTGAACTAAAGCTAGTGCTGATGCATTTTAGAACTCAAGTTAGTGCTGATGCATTTTAGAACTAAAGTTAGTGCTGATGCATTTTAGAACTCAAGTTAGTGCTGATGCATTTTTTGGAACTAAAGCTAGTGCTGATGCATTTTAGAACTAAAGTTAGTGCTGATGCATTTTAGAACTAAAGTTAGTGCTGATGCATTTTAGAACTCAAGTTAGTGCTGATGCATTTTAGAACTAAAGTTAGTGCTGATGCATTTTAGAACTAAAGTTAGTGTTGATGCATTTTTTGGAACTAAAGCTAGTGCTGATGCATTTTAGAGCTAAAGCTAGTGCTGATGCATTTTAGAACTCAAGTTAGTGCTGATGCATTTTAGAGCTCAAGCTAGTGCTGATGCATTTTAGAACTAAAGCTAGTGCTGATGCATTTTAGAGCTCAAGCTAGTGCTGATGCATTTTAGAGCTCAAGCTAGTGCTGATGCATTTTAGAACTAAAGCTAGTGCTGATGCATTTTAGAACTAAAGCTAGTGCTGATGCATTTTTTGGAACTAAAGCTAGTGCTGATGCATTTTAGAGCTAAAGCTAGTGCTGATGCATTTTAGAGCTCAAGCTAGTGCTGATGCATTTTAGAACTAAAGCTAGTGCTGATGCATTTTAGAACTAAAGTTAGTGCTGATGCATTTTAGAACTAAAGCTAGTGCTGATGCATTTTAGAGCTAAAGCTAGTGCTGATGCATTTTAGAACTAAAGCTAGTGCTGATGCATTTTAGAACTAAAGTTAGTGCTGATGCATTTTAGAGCTAAAGCTAGTGCTGATGCATTTTAGAGCTAAAGCTAGTGCTGATGCATTTTAGAACTAAAGCTAGTGCTGATGCATTTTAGAGCTAAAGCTAGTGCTGATGCATTTTAGAACTAAAGCTAGTGCTGATGCATTTTAGAACTCAAGTTAGTGCTGATGCATTTTTTGGAACTAAAGCTAGTGCTGATGCATTTTAGAGCTAAAGCTAGTGCTGATGCATTTTAGAGCTCAAGCTAGTGCTGATGCATTTTAGAACTAAAGCTAGTGCTGATGCATTTTAGAACTAAAGTTAGTGCTGATGCATTTTAGAGCTAAAGCTAGTGCTGATGCATTTTAGAACTAAAGTTAGTGTTGATGCATTTTAGAGCTAAAGTTAGTGCTGATGCATTTTAGAGCTAAAGCTAGTGCTGATGCATTTTAGAACTAAAGTTAGTGCTGATGCATTTTAGAGCTCAAGCTAGTGCTGATGCATTTTAGAACTAAAGTTAGTGCTGATGCATTTTAGAGCTCAAGCTAGTGCTGATGCATTTTAGAACTAAAGTTAGTGCTGATGCATTTTTTGGAACTAAAGCTAGTGCTGATGCATTTTAGAGCTAAAGCTAGTGCTGATGCATTTTAGAACTCAAGTTAGTGCTGATGCATTTTAGAACTAAAGTTAGTGCTGATGCATTTTTTGGAACTAAAGTTAGTGCTGATGCATTTTAGAGCTAAAGCTAGTGCTGATGCATTTTAGAACTCAAGTTAGTGCTGATGCATTTTAGAACTAAAGTTAGTGCTGATGCATTTTAGAACTAAAGTTAGTGTTGATGCATTTTACAGCTAAAGTTAGTGCTGATGCATTTTAGAGCTAAAGCTAGTGCTGATGCATTTTAGAGCTAAAGTTAGTGCTGATGCATTTTAGAACTAAAGTTAGTGCTGATGCATTTTAGAGCTAAAGTTAGTGCTGATGCATTTTAGAACTAAAGTTAGTGCTGATGCATTTTAGAACTAAAGTTAGTGCTGATGCATTTTAGAACTAAAGTTAGTGCTGATGCATTTTAGAAATAAAGTTAGTGCTGATGCATTTTAGAACTAAAGCTAGTGCTGATGCATTTTAGAACTAAAGTTAGTGCTGATGCATTTTAGAACTAAAGTTAGTGCTGATGCATTTTAGAACTAAAGCTAGTGCTGATGTATTTTAGAACTAAAGCTAGTGCTGATGTATTTTAGAGCTAAAGCTAGTGCTGATGTATTTTAGAGCTAAAGCTAGTGCTG